TATAATAATTATATATTTACATATGATATATTAGTAATTTAATAACTTTCTTCTTACACAACAAATAAAATGGATATTTTATATATATAACTAGAACTTTAGTGTTGGAAGCTGACAACACATCCATTAAGTTAAGATAAACTGACTTAAGATATATTGACTTTCGATTTATCATTTTGATAATTGTAAAAAGTGCTTTTTTCCATATCTACTATGTTTTCTGTGCCAATGTATCATGTATGTAAGGGGCTCCACTAATAAAAAGAACAGAACAAAGAACAGAAAATAAGAATTTTTCAATCTATCAGAAACTGTGTTCCACAATACATGATTTCCGATGGTTTGAAATTCTTATTTTCTATTTTCTGTTCCTTTTATTGTGCGGAGCCCTTTGTACTATTACTTTTATCTTTATGTCTTCTTCTAAATTTCTAAATTCATAGTCACAATTTATGTTGATGACGTAACGAGTTGTGGATACCAGCGACATCCAATGTTGCAACGATGTGAAATGGGTTTGAATCGGTTATTATATGCGTGCTAAAATAAATTAATGTTATGAAATAAAGTGTAATTAAATACAAAACTAATATACATTAAATACGTTTGCAAAGTGAAAATTTTTTTCTTGCAAGAATATTTGCTTATAGTAAGTACGTGTCTATCGTTCTACTTAATAAACATTGTTACAGGTTATGTTATACATATCTCTCTCTATAAAAAAACATTTACGAACTCAAATTATTTATTGTTACTGAATGTAAATCTCATTTATCAAAAAAATATAAATTGAAATTTGTTATATTTTCGAAGTATTAAATCAAATATAATAATTTTATTATTATTCAATTTTAATTTATAGAATATGTGGCAAATTTTTATATTTATAGAATATGCAGAGTATTCGCCAGTGTGTTAAACAATTAGCATCATATAGCAAATCTGCTATAAACAAGACGAGTATACTATCAAGTGCAACAAATTTTACACGAATGCCAACATGCAATGTGTATATTTCTGCAATCTGTAGAAATGATTTACGTAAATACAAAACTCCGACAAAGTTTTTAGATTATAACAAAACTGTATTTCCACCTCAAAAACCAGGTGAAGAAAGAAGACCTGCTGTAAGTTATATTATGTATGTGTATTAAATATTGGTTATTAATTTATTGAGCATTTCATTTGCACATTGTTTTTTAGTACGTATGTCATATGAAAGCAAATATAAAATACAGTCCGAAGAAAATGTGGTATATCGCATGTTTTGTACGAGGAATGACCGTAGACGAAGCTGTAAAACAATTGAGTTTTATGTATAGTAAAGGCGCTGAGATTGCAAAGGAAGTTATATTGGAAGCTCAACGTTTGGCTGTAGAGGAACACAACGTTGAATTTAAAAGTAATTTGTGGGTCGGTGAGTATATGAATCAATCAATATTCGAGATTTCTGTTTTTACGTATTCTTATATATTAAATCTTTTAATCATTCGATTAATATCAAGGAAACAATTATTTCTTGCACAGCGGAATCATTCAGCACCAAAAGTATTGTAATAAAGGGTATACGACGACATGCTAGGGCACGCATGGGAGTTGTGCATTACAGATATTGCCACTATTTTGTGCGCTTGGAAGAAGGACCGCCACCTAAGCAATATTATCTGCCACATCCCAAAACTGGCGAAGAATTGTTGAACGATTGGATGAAGCAGCTGCATATGCGCAAAATACCGAATTCTTTGTAATATTGAAAATACAATTATAATACTGTAAATATATTATTTAAGAATTATTATATTTACAAATCATATATTAAAGGTCTTTCAGCACTTATTTCATTTTTATAGTGATTCATTAATAATGTGCTATTTCTCTAAGATTAACAGAGCTTGTAACAGATCTTTCTTTATCTGACTGTTAAAATAAAGTCTTGTTATAATTTAGGGTTCTATATACTTAATCAAATGGATCTTGCTATATGACGCTAAATGTTAACCCATTAATGAATATTTTGCAATCTGTAAATATGAAAATTTGCTATATATTAACTTCTATAAAACACAAATTATAATTGAATGACAATAAAATTATTACAATATATTTAACTTAATGTAGCGAAAATGTAACAAAGTCCAAAAAGATTGAGATGTGTAAAACATTTTTTTTTGCAGAGAAGTGTAAAATCTAAATTAAAATACGTTAATACTTTATTTTAAATCATATATTGATATGATTTAATGATGATCATTGATATAATAACGTGAAATTGTGCTCTATTATATTAATATTGTATAGCTATAGAGGCAATATACAAAAGAAAATGACAGATTTTATTTCTTATGCAGAAGTGATATCTTTATTTATCATCTGCAAATATATATTAATTTACAACTTTAGCTTAGTTCTCCTCCAGTGACGCCTCTTCGCATTATACCTAAAAAACACATAAAAAATTAGTTTTAATAGCATTTTCAATATTTATATAATATTATCACAAGATTTCTAGTAGGTAATATATTATTTTTTGTTCCATATTTTATGATTGAACTTTAATGTAGCTAAAATATTGCAATAATGTTGTAATATTAGAATATTCTAAGTTTCATGAATTTATGCCAAAAGTAATTATCAAGAATTGAAATATTTCTATTTCTTAATATGTTATAAAATAATTTTATAAAAATCTTGTGTTACATCCATAGCAAGAAAATTACAACAATAATTGAAATTCTTAAATCTATCAAATTACAAGACCTTTAAACAAAAGAAAACATTTAATTCGTATTAAATCTTATTCAGATTGATATTTTAATCTTTTTTCGCAATTTAAAACTATAATTCTTTTCTTGTTTGATACAAATATTATATAGCAACGTTATAGCAACGTTTGCGCAATTATATGCAAGAAGAAAACGAGCGATGTTTATAACCAATGCAAGGAATTGAAGCGAGTATGTGCATCTTAAACATTAAGTAAGCATTCTTTTGTCATACAAATATGAAATATATTTATTAATCAGACTTGAACTTACCGAATAGTATTACCGGTTCGCATTCTCACCCATTGGGGAATCGGTCTGTTTTGCTTCAACTTTTTCGCAAGCTTTCGCTTGATAATAAATGTCTTATGAGCCGACTGAAATAAATACGAAACAAATTCAGAGCCTACAGATATGATTTTTAAATGTTTTTACATGAAAGAAGATAGGATTGCGAGAAAGTAAATGGATATATCGAGAATATGCGTAAAACTCACCATCGTACCTATTCACACTTTCGTGAAAACACGACAAATGGGAGAGCAAATCGATTAAAAAATGAACATGGACGTACACGCGGTTAAAATATTTTCTAGAAGGGCATTCAATACATAGTTATGGATTCCCTTCTGAATGGATCCACCAATCACAGAATTCTGGTAAAGACGAAATCAAACGAAACTATTGGCTGCGTTCAGTGGACTCAATAGTTGAGTGAATGCTCGCTGTTATTGGTGTATTCTTTTAGATCATTCAATCAGCATTTTAGATCTGGAAGAATAATAGTGAGTGCTCATTCAACTGTTGAGTTCGCTGAACGCAGCCGTTTGAGACTGTAATTCGTAAACACAACTATAGATGACACCAAAATCATTTAAAATGTCGCTCCAAGGATAAAGCAGAATTATTCTTTGAATTATTTTATTCTTTAATTTGCTCTAAGGAATTATATATATTGCGAATAATTTTTCGTTTTTCTTTTGGATTTTCGTGCATTTTACTGTGCCTATTTTTTTTTTTAGCTGAACTTGTACGGTTCATGTTTTCTCTTTCTCTTTCCAACATGAAGAGAAAAGAAAAAAAGATGAATCGTGCAAAAACTTTAGCTGAAAAAAAAACAGATCTGTGTTAATTTTAATGTTTATTCTCTTTAGAATGATTTGTTTATATTCTTTCAGAGGAAAACGAGCGAAACATATGAGTGCAAAAGTTGCAAATAAAACGAACAGATCCGTGGCCATCGCTCGATAGCCAATCCGCGTTCAACAAGTACTGATGAGAATGACTGTGTAGGATATTCTGATTCAGAAGAGTCGATTGCTCACGGAACATTCGAGTTTCTGGAGATTGATTATTTTGCAAATCGCCTCGGTGTATATACAGCTGACTCGTTTGTATGACAAGGAATTGCAAGGAATAGCAAGCGATGAATTAATCATTAATAACTACTATCCTCATCTCGTGTGCATACAATCGCTCAGTTGTGACGATGCTCGTGACGTAACTAAATTAATACTGAATTATTATGATGCAGTGTTAGGCCTGAAGATTCACACCTCGCGATTTATTTATCATTCTGCTCTGTCACTGTGATCACAAACGAGCACACTTAAATTTTGGATTCGGGACACCTCGGAGTGACGAACAGCAAAGATGGACAGCAACAAGGACGAAGCAGAGCGATGCATGGAACTCGCGGAGCGATTTATGCGAGAAAGAAAATATGAGGAGGCCGAAAAGTTCATTCGCAAAGCTCAGAAGCTTTATCCGACCAAGAAGGCGGATGGTGAGCCTGGGATTTTCATAGAGTCCGTTCAATGCACTGACGCAAGAATGTTAATTTTCGCATACTTTGCATGTGAATGTACTAGACTTTTGAGTTTGCCTACGTTGATTTGTCCCAAGTTTCTTCTTGTATATATATTTTAATTTATTATCT